CACCTGGGCCTGTGCCAGGGAAACAAAAGTCCTGTCCCCAGGTGCTGGGCACCATCTGGGCAGAGATGCCGTCCCATTTCATAGATGAGGACATTGAGGTTCAGAGATGTTATACATTTCCCAAGGTCACACAGCAAATGGATAGTCAGAAAATGCTCCAAGGAAGACTTCTGAGCCCTTTTAGGTGCTCTGCTCCCTAGAAATGAAGTTCTGGGATCATTTGGGTGTTTCATGGTCAGTCTGGATCATGGTCAGACTCAGAGGAGAGATTCCTAAAAGACAAGGTGATGATTATTGCAAGCAGCAAGCCAGACAATTTCCCCTACCATGAATTCTGTCAGCTCAGGCTCTGGTGGACATCAGGAAGACAAACCAGATGACCTCCAAGCCCCCTTCAGCACCAGTCCATGAGTCCCAGAGTGCCTGGAGAATGGATGCCCGTCACCTACATGAAGCCCCCCAGGCTACTTGTCTTCTTTCCAGCACACACCAAGATATGAGTCACAGAAGGTGCAGGGGAAATTGATTGCATTATCAATATTTAATATCTCCAGAGAGGTGACATCAGCAAAATTGCCTGGCTTGGCAGAGCCAAGTGGGTAGACAGTGGGACAGCCCCTTCATCTCCCTGGATGCCTCATCCCACATGGGGACAGGGGAAATTGATGGGCTCCCGAAAGGCATCTTGGCAACTGCTGCCCATGGCCCTCACCAGGATCGCCTGCACCAGCATATATGGCTACTTCTGAGGACCAAAGCTGTGGTCTCAAGCTGTTCAAGATGCCAGTGAAGTTTAGGGTGACTGGCAGTGTCGAATAGTGACCTGAACTGGTCGCATACCACATGGCTGAGAATCATCTGCCCGAAGATACACCCAGGACACCGATGCCACCAAAGCCAGAGAAAATCTTGGCAGGTGGCAGAAGTCATAAGGTAGGGAGGTAGTGCCTCCTAGCCACCCCACACCGGCCCTGCTTGGCTGGCCTCAGTCTCCTCCTTGGCAGGATGAGCTGTGGTCTCTGCCTCACAGGTTTGCTGTGAGATAGAAACGAGGTTCATTTGATATGTGCCAGGCCCAGAGCAGGCCCAGGAGGTCTTCCAGTCCACCTGTGGTCTCCAGCCCGTCACTCTGCCTCAGGGAGCTGTGGACACCCAAGGCATGACAGGGGCAGGTGAATCTTTGGGGGGCTGGGGCTACAAAAAAAGAAAGCACTGGGCATGAGGCCATGTTGTGTCTGGCTCCAGGTGCCTTTCTCCCCAGTATTTACAATGGGGAAAACTGAGGCTCAAGGAGTCTAAGAGATGTGTCCAAGCTGGTATGTAGCAGAGCCTAAATCTGAAACTGCAGTTGTTTGGCTCGGTGTCAAATTGTCCCAAATCTGGATGAGATGAGGAAACTGAGGCAGGTATGAGGCAGTCTAGGGAGTGAAACTGAGCCCATCAGCCCCAAACAGGACTCTCCATCCATACACACCCACTCCTGCCCAGCCTGACCAGCTCACCCTGAAGCCTCCACTGAGAGCAAAGTTTCCCTTCCAGACCCTGGGGCCTCAACCAATCCCATGGGCACTGTGAGGCTGGTGGGACCCAGGAAGTGGTTTCTTCTCTTAGGGACACCAAAAGGACTACTCCAAATGTGCTGTCCAATGTGGAAAACCCTTGGCTTTGTCCCTGTTGACTGCATAACTCTGGGCAACTTTTGCTCTCTGGGGCTCAGTTTCCCCATCTCCAAAGAAAAGAAGTGGGTGGGAATCATCTTTGTGTTCTCTTCCATGCTGTGGTTTCTTGGAGAGCACAGAATGACTTTCACTCCTGGAGTTTTATCCAGTGGCAGAGATTCCCAAATAAACCAGTGATGACCATGCAGTGTGTGACAAGCTAGAAGTACTACAGAGGGTTTGGAGGTCATCCAATCCAGGGGTTCACATCAGCCTGCAAGCCAGTTGAGCCTGATGAGACGGGGTATCTGCTAGAGATGAAGATGCAGGGACTTGGAGAACAAGCCCGACTCAGCCTCACAAGGAGGGACAGGGGAAGGGGAGCTGGCCCAGGGCTCACAGGGGAGAAACAGGGAACTGTTTATGGTGAGAGGCACCCAGCCATTCCAGGCCCTGAGGCGAAGGATCAGGCAGTGGGTCTGGGGTAGTTAAAGGTGGAGCTCAAAGCCAACGAAGCAACAGACAGGGAGCCGAGACCCAGTTCTGGGAAGAGGGGAGGTGTGGCTAAAGCCCATGGTGGGCTGGGTCAGACAAGTGACTCCACCTGTGTGGAGAGGATGGTACGAGTTTCCTAGGCCCTCATGATAAATTATCACAGCATGGGGTAACAGCAAGAGGTGAAATCTCCCACAGTTCAGAAGCCAGGAATCTAAAACCCAAGTGTGGGCAGGGTCTGCTCCTTCCAGAGGCTCTAGGGGAGAATTCTGCCCTGATCCCACCAGCTCCTGGGGGTTGCTGGCCATCCTATGGTCCTTGGCTTGAACTGCATTACTCCAGCCTCGGCCTCCAGCATCGCATAATGTCCCCACCCACTTCCATGTGTCTCTGTTCCATCCACATTTCCTTCTTCTTACCAGGACATTGGATCATGGCCTGGATTACATCTGCAAGACCCTATTTCCAAATAATTTAACATTGGCAGGCAGTGAGCAGGGGCGGGGCAGTGAAATTAGAGGCCCAGTGTCAGAGGTCTGGCAGGGTGGCAGCTGGGCAGAGCTGGCTTTACTCAGCCTGTCTGGGGCTCTCCCTCACAGACTTGCGAGGTTGTGGACTGCTGGCATCAGACAAAGCCAGCAGGTCTGGCTGGGATGATGGGTGGGAGCCATTCCCTGGAGCTGTCTCAGAGCCCTGGGGCCACTAGTAGCAGGGACACGGCCACCCGGCTTGTGGCTCCTGGTCAGTGGAGGAGAATCTGAGCGAAGGGCCAAGAGGGCCAGAAGAGTGCAAAGTTACTCTGCAGACCGGTGGTTCCAGTAAACCCAGTACCAGCTCTAATCCTGGCCCTTCTGGCATCCTGTAAGACCCTGAGGAGGTGGCTTTCCCACTCTGAGCCCCACCTTCCTAACATAAAACACCAGGCTGACCAAGCTGACCTCCCCAGGCCCTTGCACCTGGAGGTCTCTGGGACAGGAATGTCAGCCCCAGGGAGGCTGGGGTCTCCTTTAAACCTGACCCTGGAAATGACTGTTCCCTCTGAAAAAAGCTAAGTACTTGTCAGCTCCTCTCATGGGTAGACAGTGTCCCCTGCCTCGGCCCCAGAAACACACAGCCAAGCTCACTATTCATTTTTAGTGGGAAACTAGGGCTTTGGGTACAGACGGGGCGGGATGTGGAAGGGAGTGGGCAGGATGGGACTGGGCCTCCCCTAGGTGCTCTGGCTCTACAGCTCCTGGGCCTGGGGCCCCAAGATGGGTTCCAAATCCATGAGGTATTAAATACCCCCCATGTAGATCCTTCCTTGGGGCAGAGCCACGTGGCAGCATGGAGCACTCTGTGACAACCCACAGCCATGTCCCCACTGGTGGCAGGAGGTGGGATGGTTCTCTCTTCCCTCTGTGTCAAGCATGGCTCCACTCTACCTCCACCTTTAGGGACAGCTCCCTGCTCTGCTGATGCTCTACAGAGAGGCTGGGCCAGGGCCAGAGCCTCAAAGGCAGAAGCCCCTTGATTCTGATTCTGAAAATACAACAAACGCACAATGCCGCATTTACATCTATACAGATGCCCACCTGCCTGCCTTCACTGTCGGCCACACTCAGGTGTGTCCCTACCCAGGAGTTCCCAAGACCCTCAAGGCCCAAGGCCACAGTGCAGGCTCCCAGTGTGTACTCAAGGGTCTCATCTGTCACCCACTGCTGGAGGAGAACCTGGGATCCTCTTTGCTCAGGGAAGACACGCAGCCAAGCAGCCTCTGAGAGGCTTTGTCTCTTTGCCCTTCCTAGCCCCTTGCCCCTGTGCAGGGAACCAGGAGGACCCAACCCATCCACGGTGCCACCTTGTCCTTACTTGGGGATCCACACAGGTAGCCCTGGGCCTAGGTGCAAGTCGTTTATCTGAGGGGTAAGCCCAGGAGGCTTGTGGAAAGCATGGGGTGAGGGAGAAGGTAGCCAAGGCAGGAAGGAGCATGTTCACGAGCAGGCTCTGGCTCACTCCTGCTTGGAACCTTCCAGATGACATTTGCAAAACCAACTCCACTACTCAAGGGGCAGGGATGCCCCATATGTACCCACCTGCTCTCATTCCGCACAGTGTGAGGGCTGTCACCCCCTGGAACATCTGTCCTGCTCCCTGAAAGCCAAGCATGTGCCCTTAGCCAAAGAATTCCCTCCAGAAGAGAGACACGGGAACCATCCCCTGGAGCCAGGTGACCACAGGAAGCGGGAACTGAAGAGGGCCATCCAGTGGACTGATGGTCTTTTCCCAACCTCACCTTGACCGTGTATAAAGATTGTGGTGTAAGATCCATGTGCACTCATGTACACACACGCACGTACACACACACCACCCATTCTCCCTCCTCCCCTCACGTGGTCCTCTCTGCTCCTGACTCCTAGTTCACTTTCTGTCCTAGAGAAGCTGAGGACATGGGCTTCCACCTCTGAGAGTGGCTCGTCCACTGGGTGACAAGGGAGCTTGGCTCCCACAGCTCTAGGAGCCCTTGGCCCCTAAAGCCTACCCCTGGCGCTTGGCTCTAGGGTTCCAGTGCCTGGCTCCAGCTCAGTGTATCGACCACAATCCCAGGCTTTGAAGCTGGAGACTCCCCAGGCAGACAAAGGGTCGACTGCCAGGTGGGGGAGTCCTGGGGGTGCCAGCCCAGGTGTGTGGCGATTATCTCAGAGGCTTAATCAAGGTGCCTTGTCCCCAGCTCTGCCGGTGATGACTACACCCCACCCCTCCCGACACTTCCCCACGCTGGCTGCCAGGATGGCACCTGCTAGGCTATGGAACCCTTCTCTCCCCCAGCTGGCCTCCTTTTGTGCTATCACAAAGGGGACAAAGCAAGGACCACCTGGTGAGGGGAAGACCTCGGGGCTCCCTATTTCTCAGCTGTGACTGTGCTCCCTCGGGTACATGTTGGAGGTGGGTTGAAACTGCCTCTGATGCTAGAACTTTGTCTGAGCAGGGGTGCCATAAAGAGATGAATAGACAGAGGGATGGTGGCCCAGGGTGAGCAGCGGGATCAGAGGGGACCCATCCTGGCAGCTGTCCAAAGTTAGATGCTCCTGGATGTGGGTGCCCAAGACCAAGGCCATGCTGCTCCCTGAGCTGAGAGCTGAAACACCCTCCCCATGGACTCTGACAAGGTTTTTATTTGTCCCCAAGGCCCACGTGGGATGTGCATCGAGCCCAGCCTCACTTTTTACAGAAGCAGCTGGGGAAGAACACAGCTCAGAGAAGTTGGAGTCAGCTGTGTGCACTCTGCATGCTGAGCCTAGACCGGGCTGGGATACTGTCCCGTGCCACCTTTCTTGCTGTTCTTGCAGGATGCCCTCTGTAGTTTGGGCGTGTGGACTCAAGAAGGAGGAGGAGGTTAGCAGGAATCGGATGGACTAGCACCCGCTTGGGCCAATGTTAGACAAACCCTCAGCTCCCATTCTAATTCCCGTCCCCTTCTAAACTGTTTCTGAGACTGCCACATGGCAAGGTTGCTGACTACAACTGGTATGAGTGCTGTGGATGTATGACGCAGTGGCTCTGAACTTTTCTCTAGTAGTTGGGGTGAAAGAAAGGAAGAAATGGAGACAAAGAGAGAGAGAGAGAGGGAAGGGGAGAGAGAGAAGCTGCCAGATTGCTGCTGGGCCTCAGGTCTCCCCTGGAGAAGAGTTAGAGACCAAACAGAGAGAAGCTGGTGTCTCTGGTGGAAATGCTGAGTGCTGGAGGCCAGCCTGCTGGGCTCGTCGCCTACTGGCCATTAAGATGAGCCATGGCTTCCCCAGGACCATCATTCAGAGTTGGGGATACGGGAGAAGAGGGAACCCATTATTCACAGCTAAAGAAAGACTCATTACTTTGCACTAACCCTTGGTTGGTATTGAATATACCATCACTCCCCTCCTAACAAATGGCTTCTCAAGGGTTTAATTAACTTCTTAGCACCCATGGGCAGGCAGCCTGGCCCCCACCTCTGGGCAAAGCCTGAGTCAGCCATAGTGAAGGCCAGGGATGGTCTTCAGGAGCTGTGTCCCTGCTGGGCTGGACCAAAGAAGGGAAGGTGAAGGCCTGGAACGAGGAAGGCCATGTGGTCAATGTGCCCCCAGATTACCCAGCAAGGAGGCATGAGCAGGCCTGGAATCCAACCTTGAGCAAAGAAGCGGAACAGCCTTTTCAGAGCCTTGGCCTTACTTCCCCCTCACAAAATCACCAGCTATGAAGAACACACAGCGCAGGGCGATTCCGCAACTATTGGGTTACCTTGATGAAGACCCGTGGTGAAGCTAGCCTGTGAGTAAGTCCTTCCCAGTCCTCCTCTTCATCACACTCCTTGGCCCATCCTGTCTGTCAGACTCGCGCCATCTCAGTGAGTCCTTATACAGATCCTATGAGGCGGGTGTTTCTTCCCGATTTTCAGATAGGAAATTGAGGCTCAGAGGGATTGAGTAATTCCCCAAAGGCTATTCTGGCTCTCTGGAGAAGAGCTCATGTCTTTGGACTTAACCATTTCCCTGACTGGGAGACTGAGGACTTAGCGATGGTCACTCCGTTCACACGTAGACTCAAACTCCTGGCTGCTAATTCCACGCCCAGTGGAGGCCCTTTTGACCACATTCCATAGCCCATCATCACTGCTTCATTACCCATGGCTTGACCTTCTTTCCCTGCTGTGGGACCAGGCCCCCAACCCCCTGAGCCACATTGAGCAGGTCCGACAGACAAAGGGGGGCCCTGATCTGTCACTGTGTTGTGGCCCAGGACAACCCCACTGCTCCAGCCTCCATTTCTTCATATAAAGATGTGCCTTGCTGACATTCGTGAGAATTAAATATGTGCTCAAAAACACTTAGCCCAGGGTCTGCCACCACACAATGCATTAAATAGCAGTTTCATTAGGACAGGCCTGGAATCCCCACCTCTTCCTGCACCCTGCTATGGCAGCTCCCCTACCCAGGAGGGCTTGTCCAACACCTCCCTCAATTCAAATTGGGACAGAGAAGCCCTGAAGGACATCAGATGCCAGAAGAGAGCCCTTCCCCACCCACAGGGAGCACAGGCTGCCTCTCCGGCTGCAGGCTAATTAATTGTCAGGGGCTGACAGCAAAGAGAGGCTGTGCTTCTTGCCGGCAAGCCCAGAGCAATGATGGAATAATGGGCTCTAATGCACTGGCCTTCTCCAGGGACCTGTCTTTCATCCCCAACAAAACTAATTAATGATAGCAATAAATAAACCAAGTCAGCCCTCCCTGCCCAGAATAGGCAGGGTGCTTGGAGAAAAGCCTGTTGCTGGCTGGGTCAGAGTGCCATGGCCCAGGGTCTTCTGTGGGGTTGGAGGTGTGACTGTGATGTCACGTGAGTGGGGCAAGAGGAACCAGGCCCAAGTGAGCCACTTGATCCCAGGCTGAAAATGTGGGAGCTATGAGTCAAGCCAGTGTGTTGCCTGGGACTTTGCAGTCCTGAGATATTAAGCCCATTAAGAGCAAAAGTGTGTAGTCTATAAGCCAGGGAGAGCCACATTACCTCCTATGGCTTGAGGTGGATGGATAACACCAGGAAGATCCCAGCCCTAGCCCTCAGGTTAGTTAAGCTGTAACACAAAAAGCATGAATGTCAGGGATGCAGTTCAGTGGTAGAGCACTTGCCTAGCATTCAGCAGGCCCTTGATTTGACCCCCAGCACTGCAAAACAAACCAAAGGAACACCAAAGCCAAAACCAAAACCAAGCCCAAACTAATTAACAATAACTAAAAATTCCCCCAAACACTGTCAGTGGCTCTCAACTTTGAGCAGATATCAGAATCCCCAGATGGTTTGAGGAAGCCCAGACTATGAGCCCTGCTCTAGCCTTTCAGAGTCAGCTAGGCCCAAGAATTTGCCTTCCTACCAAGTTTCCTGGGGTTGAAGAAGCTGCTGATGGGAAACCCTATTCAGGACCAGCATTCTAACTGATGGTCAAAGATGGATTCCCATCCTGCCTCTGTGTCCATCTGGCTTGAGGTTCCTGGCTTCTCCTCTTCAGGCCTCAGTTTTCTCCCTCTATAAATTACAGTAGTGTGGGCATGTGTGAATGTGTATGGTGGGGCAGGACTTCATTGCTCTGGGGTCTGCTGTACCCTTTGAGGCAATGCAAGGTTGGCTGGCAGCATGTAACACTGGGCCATTTTACGCGGGTGTTGTGGTCCTTTTGGCTAATTGGCTCCAAGGAGAGGAACGACGAGATCACAAAAGAACCAGCACCTTCTCAGGAGCCCCCACCTCCATGTAACCACAAGTCCCAGTCAGTATGGAAAACTTTGCCCTTGATGCATCCCCCACCTCTCCTGCACACCCCCAGTAACAGACAACTCACTGTCTCCCATGGCAGGGTATCCCACCCCAAAGTCATAAAGAGTACTTTTGAGTTGTTTATTTGTTTTTACTGCAACTTCAGAATCTAACTCCTCGTGATGTACTCCCTTGGCCACCTCCTCTTGAGGCTCAGTCTCCTCATAGGTCCTGTCCAGCACTGACATAACACCTGACAAGGAGACTGGTCTCTACCACCCATTGCTAAGAAACTTGGAAAAACCACTGTGCACCTCTGAGTTCCAGTTGCCCTCTGGGATGGGTAGAGATGAGATAAGAGGTGAAAATGGAAAGCACAGTGTAAAAAGGAGAGGTTCTAATTACAATGATGTAATAACAAGGTCTTGCCTGGGTGGCGTCAAGCAGGAATCCTGTTTCCTAGCCAGCTGGTTCCTAGGTCTCTAACTGCAGGTAAGAATGTAGTATAGCTCCTACCATGGCATGAGAAGCCATGCCTTTCTATAGTCCTCTTCCCAACACCCTAAGGCCCGTGGCCAGTGCTCTGGAGCCAAAGCCAGAAGACCAGCTGTCTGCATCCTCTGTGTTCACACCCTCAATGGCTCGGGCCCTGGCTCCAGTGTCTCTAGGCAGCAGCTTAGTTTGTAAGGACCTCACAGTGACTGAGTTCAGCAGCAGGTCCTGTGGAGACTCCACCCCCTCTGCATAAAGCAAAGCCATTCAAGCAGGCAACAGAAGTGAAAGCAGACTGAGCAGGAAACATCTATTGAGTGGATGCTGGTGACTCAGAGTCACTGCAAAAGGCTGGAAATCAGTGTCCAGACCACATGTCAGATCAGTGTGAGGAGGACACTGCCACTGAGCCCAGGAGGCTACTTACTTCTCCACCTCCCAGGCTATAGATTGCCCTTCGCCACCCCTGGGGTGCTGCTGTAGACACTCACCACCCAGGGTGGCTTCTTCAAGGTCCTGCTGATGTGCAGCATGGCCCATCTAATTGGCAGGCCTCAGGCAATGGGTCTGCACCCAGGCTGCAAAGGAGGCTGGGAAGGTGAGAAGCTCGATTCTTAGCTTCTATAGCAACAGATAGGAGTGGAAAATTCTCCAGATTCAGAAAGAAGGCTCAGATGTAGGGCAGGAAAACAACCTAGTGGCCACTCCTATCCAGGGAAACTTGCCTCTTGGCACCTTTATGAGGGGGCGTGCTTTTATTTTCATCATGCCCACTGTTTTTCCAACAAGAAAGCTGAGGATGGGGAGGATGCCCACAGGCATGCAACTAGCAAGAAGCAGATGGTGTCTTCAGCTTTCCATCACTATAACAAATATCTGAGACAGCCGACTTAATAAGAGAAAAGGTTGACTCATGGTTTTGGAGGTTTTAATCCACGGTGAGTGGCTCTGTTGCTTTGGGCCAGTAGGCAGGATATCATGACAGAGAGAGTGGGAGAAAAGCTGCTCACCTCATAGCCAGGAAGCAAAAGAGAGAAAGAAGACAAGATGAGGGTCCCACAATCCCCTTTGAGGGTACATCCTTAGAGACCTGAAGATCTTCCACTAGGCCACATCTCTTAAAGGGGAAACCTCCCAGTGGCACCATTCTGGGAATTAAGATTTTTAATATGTGAGCCTTTGGGGAACATTCCAGAACCAAACTATAGCACAGACCCTGGGCTTGAACTAGTTTGTTGGGCCTTGGGCTTATGGTCCTGTAGGTCTTTACTCTTCATGTTCTGTCTTAAGCAAAAATGACTCAGCCATTGTCCTCAGGAAGCAGAGGAAGCATAAACTGTGGGGATGCACGGTTAATGGTGCCAAGGCTCAGAACCATTAAGCAGCCAAGAACTTGGGCATAGTGGAGTCAGCCATTTCCCTGGACATGGGGGAAGGGCAGGACAATGACTAAGAAGGGGTTCTTCTGCCTGAGCCCAAACTGCTCATGAGCTGTCCCTGTGCAGGTCCAGTCTGACTTCAGAGACTTGTCTGCAACAAGGATGCTGAGGGTGGAACACTGCCGATCTTCCCATAGGACCCCATAAAGCAAAGTAGAGCCAGGCCTGACAGCCAGTGCCAGCTGACCTTGTTAGCCACAGATTATGGCCACTTGGGATCCAGGACTGGCCTGGGGGTAGAATTCCCATGGATTCCAGCCCGGGTTTTCCAGTAGGATTGATCACCCAGCAGACAGCAAATGTATGTTTAAGTATCCATTCTTGAGTCTCACTCGGGGAGCAGGGCTCATTCAATGGCCCATGGAGGGACTTGGCAGTGGTGGTGTGCATATCGCCCAGGTGATTCACATGTATAGCCAGGATGGAGAACTCCTGGCCCTGGGATTCTGGATCTCACCTAGGCTGGGAGAGGCTGGAATGGGACCCTGGGCTATGCTCCCTCCACTGCTGTCTCAGGGACAGCTGACCCCAGAGATGGATGGGTGCCACCATGTGAACTTAGAGCAGGAGGCTGGAAAACAGAAATAAGTCCAAGGCACTCAGTGCTCCAAGACAGCTACCAAGAGGAACCACAGGCAGGTGGGAAAGTTCTGAAAGCCACCTCCTCCTTGGAAACCCCTGTACCTGACTCAGAGATATTGCCGCTCTCGGTACCTCTCACTCTGACTTTATGGTAACAAGAAAGTTGGGAAACTTCTCTGTTCAGACAGCATACTGCTCATGAACCTTCAGAAGCTCCTCATGGCTCTCAGAGTAGAGACCCAGTACCTTAGCCTGGTTTCCAAGCCCCTCCCAACCAAAAGCTCGCCACCCGCTACCAGTCACGTACCACTCCCTTTGCATATATGGAAAGAGCCAGGTGCCCAAGAGGGCTGCTGGCAAATTTAATGATGTGGAGGATTTAAAATGCTCAGCCCAGATCATGGTCTACAGAAAGTGTTCAGAAAGTGACAACTACTCTCATCAAGAACATCATCATCATCATCACAATCATCACTGCCATTACCCAAGTCACCGTCCCCAAGCCTACATCAG